ACACCTTAATAGTACTGGGTTGGACCCCCTTTTGCCTTCACAACTTAATCCTTTGTGGTATAGATTTAACAAGGTACTGGAATAATTTGTCTGAGAATTTGGTCCAAATTGACATGATAGCATAAGGTAGTTGCTGTGAATCTCCCACCCTGTCTGGCACCAACAACCATGTCACATTCAAAGTCCCCTAAATCCCCCTTTTTCCCCATTTTGATGCTCAGTTAAAACTGCAGCAGTTGGACAGGTGTACCTAATAGAGTGGCCAGTGAGTGTAGTCATTGCATGAAGTTTTTGAAAAGTTCATTTTTTCTAGCTGTCAAATAGCTGCCAATAGGGAATGGGTTGAATTTACTAAAATAGTTTTTTTTAAGACAGATTATTATTATTTTTTACTCATTTGTAATAGGGGACCTATTATTCCCCTTTTTAAAAGATATAAAATAATGCCCCTGAAGTGTGTATGTGAATCTCAGCTCAATATTCCCCACAAATAATGTTTTCTAGCTCTCTTAAACTGCTCCTTTTAGGCTTTGATCCTAATTGTGCCATTTGGTGACTGCCGCTTTAAATTCAAATGAGATTGTGCTCTTATCAAAAGAGGGTGGAGCTACAAATGCCTATGTGTCAGCATAGTGGCAGATTTAAAAACAAGACTTATGATGGGCGGGGCTTTCCTCCTCTGATGACACTACAAAGGGAGAAAGTCTCCCTTTAATATTCACATACCGTTGCCACAAAACTGTTTAAACATTTCTCTTCAACCTTTTTGTGTTATATGTTTAGCTTTTCAAGTAGATGTACGTTATTTTAAGAATCTGCACCAAAAGATGATACATATTGACTGAGAAAAATAAGTTTTTGCAGTGTGGTCAGAAGATACAGTAACAGTAATTTTCATATCCTAGTCAAGAGAGAGAGAGAGAGAGAGAGAGAGAGAGAGAGAGAGAGAGAGAGAGAAACTCAGCCCTTAAGCAACATTTTTGGTCAAATAAAAGTACTAGAGAGCAGCTGATCAAAGTTGTACTTTTAAGCTTTAAAGTGTTGCTAATTGCTAAGACTTTTACATTCAGGCCAAATTGATAAATCATATTTCATTTAATCAATCATTCTATTCTTTCCTTAGTCTTAAGTCTTACATTTTGTTTGCAGAAACACTGAAGTGAAATTTCATAAACCATTTCATCAGTTAGAAATAATAAAAATAATACAATCAGAAACAAAACTCCTCATTTGAAAAAAAAAAACAAGTCTTGGAACAAGTTTAAAACTTTTGACATTGAGATGCGTCGCCGTGTCCTGCAGCAGTGAGATTATTACAGCTCTCTGTTCTTCAATGATCGTAGCATGATAGAAGTTATCAGTAACAGCACTCCCGATGCTCTGAAGACCCTTTTATCTTTGTTTCCTGATATGTATTATCTTAATTACTGTGCCCTTCCTGCTTCTGTAGGTCACTGTCCCGATAGAGCCGTCCAACAGGTTATGTGTGACTGTGCTGTACTATTACCATTTCATTATAGGGCTAATATTAAAACAGGTTCTCACAAAGGTTATTTTTGTAAACAGAAACTGAAACTAAGGCTAAAACTATTAATCAAAAAAACATTTTCTGAAATTATTTACAAATAAATAATGAAATGAATAAATAAATATAACTAAATGAATAATGAAACAAACACTAGTTATTAAAAAACTGGCAACACTTTATAATAATTACACACTATGAATCATCTATTAAGCATTAGATTCATTATCTGTTAAGCATTAACTCTACATTAATAGATGTTAGTAAGCAGTTTATAAATACACCTACAAATGCTGTAATCTTGACTTCTTTGACATTTATAATGTGCTTTATAATTGCATTTTCATACTTTATTACTTATTAACAGTACTAAATGAAGTGTTGCATTATTTACTAACCATTTCTTTTTAAAAAATAGTGGCTTTTAGAATTGGTCAGAATGAGTTAGTAAACCATTAATAGAGCATACAAATCAACATTTTTTTTTTTATTATTCAGGCATATACTAATAGTTAAGATGTATGTTAATAAATGCTTTGTTACCTCAACCTCATCCAGTTTTGTGACCTAATCTAAAGTGAGGACTCTTTATGCTTCATAGATTCCTAATTATATAATATATCCCTGTTTTAACTGGTACCTTCCGGCAAGCACTTCAGGCTCCCCCTGACAACAACAGCAGACTGAGGAACAGCTTTTTCCCCCAGAGCTGTCTCCCTTCTGAACTCTGCCCCCCACTGACTCTTCTGAGTCACCCCCCTCTCCTCTAACTTATACTCCTCACAATCACTGCACTGTTTAACATTTGCACATTTAAAATCTGCACATATTCATTGCACTGATTCACTTATTTGCACTGTACATACCCACTGCACATGGACATCTGTAATTATATACACACCCACTGCACATATACATTTGCAATTATGTTTATCTATCTGCACACTTCTGATTATTAATAGCAATCTGTACATATTTTCATTTATTGTAAATCTCTGTTCATAGCTAATACAACCTGTATATAATGTTGATAGTTCATCCATCTGTAAATATCACTATAGTTTTTCTATAACTGCACTTTATAACTTATACCTGTATCCTGCACTTGCTGCTATTGCACTGCTGGTTAAACCTAAACTGCAATTCGTTGCCTTGTACTTGTACATTTGTAATGACAATAAAGTTGAATCTAATCTAATAAATAACAATTAAAGGCTCGGTATTAAATGAACAATAAATGTTTGCACTTATTTAAAAAAATAAAATTACTGTAAACTTTAAACATTACAGCACAACAGGAGTGTCAACATACAATTAGAACTAAATGCAATTAAATAAAATTGAAACAACAATTTAACAATATAATATAATACATTTCAAAGTCATTTAGCGAGTAATTTTATTGTACACAAGATCCCAAAGATTTATTTTTCATTTCATACAGTTTTATTTGTGTATCGTCAAATGAATATAAATGAAGTCATTTATTTTATTTTATCCTATTTGGAATAGAACTGGGCCTTAAATAGTCATTTATAAGGGATTTATAAAGCATAAACAGTTCTCACTTTAAGTCACAAAACTGGATAAAGTTTAATTAAAGTTTAATAAAGCGTGTATTAATATACATAGTAACCATTAGTATATGCCTGAATAAGAAGATATATGAATGTTGTTTTGAACGGTTTATTAATCTATTACTTTTTGTAAATGTAAAAAGTTTGTAAAGGATGCAATACTTAATGAAAAAATAATAATTCAAGTATAAAAATACAATCAAGCACATTATAAAAGTGCTTTTAAGTTAAGGATAGAAAATTTGTAGCTGCAGTTATAAACTGCTTACTAACGTCTATTAATGTAGAGGTAATAGTAAACAGACAATGAATTCACTATTTGCAAATGCTTAATAAATGATTCATAGTGTGTAGTTATTATAAAGTGTAACCAAAAAACTTTTAATTAAAGTAGAAATCAGCACATATTAATAATTGTTTTCAGCGTTAATAAACACTCAACCTGCTGTGGAAAATCTGACCTGTGGCTATTTATGGAAATATGGAGTTTACCCATAACATGTCCATGGAGCTACAGCTAAAGAAAAAAAACAGCCAAATGTTTATATAGGCAAAATATGCCTGACAAAAAATGCAAACTAGGTACGCTGAACTATATGTCATGTTATGAAATCAAATAAGATCATAATGTTCTGTTATAATTAATAATTATTTCTGAATGTTTATATATATATATATATATATATATAATTATTTTTTTTTACTTTTGTACAATTTGGATTTGGATTCATTTTATACTATTATTGTTTTTGTTTATTAAAAGACATTATGCAAAATATAAACTGTGAATTAGGGTTCCCATATACAGTGCTTAGCAAATAAAGTACACAAATCTATCTTTTAAATTTATATCTTTAACAGGAAGCTATACAATACTATATTTGTGCTTATATATCATGTAATAAGTCGATACTGAAGCCAAATCTAAAGCATATCTAACAAAACTTACGATAACGGTCCAAAAACTATATATACACACACCCATATGTATGTTGTTTTGCAATAAATAAAAAAAAAAAAAAATTGGATGTTTATATAATGTTCTTATTGCCCTTGTATGTTCTGTGTTCTAAAATTGCAATAAAAATGTATATGTTGTAGAAAAATATTAAATACAAATTTAAAAAAAGAGCAAAAATCAACAGAAGCAAAAGAAATAGAAAAATTGTTGAATTTATTACTTTTTTTTTTGCAATATTTAGCACGAGTTTAAATGTATTATCTTTACATTTCTGAATATGTTTGGTGACTAAAATATTATTTTAATAAATATATCTGTTTAATAAATCTGTTTTGTTTAAATGTACCAAAATACATTGCCTATATTCACTGAGAAATGGAGAAAAATCGAAATGAATTGTACTCAATTATGCTGAGCACTGTATATTACGTGCCCGTAACTACTGTTTACTTGCATCAAAAAATAAACACAATGTTCTTAATGTATAGCAGAACACTTCTGGTGCTTTTGAGGTGGGATAGGGGAGGGCTAGGGACAAGTATGGTGGTATGGGTAGGTTTAAGGTTGGGTTAAGGTGTAAGGGATGTTCAACAGTGTAATCAGTTGTAATTCCATGCAGGTATTGAATCAATCGTAAAAACATGTATTTACACAATGATTTATGTCAATATAAGCACAAATTAATTAAGGTCACCTAATATAAAGTGAGACTGCATTATGCTTTGCTCTATACTGTAAGGGTCCTGTTATCTCTGATAAACTATAATTAAAACAACTACATAGAAATCCATTCACAAAATAAAAACTTCACTTAAAACTAATAAAACATCAATGGAACTAAACTGAAATTAATATTTTTAAAAGTACAAACAAAACTATAATAATCTCATCTCATTCTTGCACATTAAAATGAACTCATGAAAGAAGAGTGATAACATAAAGGAGATCCATTTACTTTATTGTATAGCAGGCACTTTACAATGATCCCCACTTTTCCCCTTTGGTGTACATCACTGGTTCCATTATTAAATCTCTGCACAAAAATCAATGTATGGGACCAAAGATGTGAAATAAAATAAGAAAATAAAACAGATTAATCCTTTTTTTTTTGAGCACAGAAAACACTTCAAACCAAACAACAACCGCATATGTTTCACATTTACCTGACTGTAAAAGTGTTGCTCTCGGCACACACAAACCAGAACTGTTCTGTCTTTTGTAGTACTCCGCCCCCCCAACCCCACACACAAAACCACTGACTGAAATCTTTTTTTTTTTTTTTTGACGCCAGTATATCATAGATTAATTTATGATGTATTGGCATATGAATGTCACTTCACTTTTACACAAGCATTTATATATATTTTTTCAGTTTGAAATGAGTGCTTCGGTCTTTCTCCACCGTTTACCGTTCATTTTGTTCCTCATCAAGACAGTAGCATTCAAAACAGTGTTCTCTTATTCTTCTGTCCAGTAACAGGCAAACCTGCCTTGTTTCCTCTGGGTCTCTGGGCGACATTATTTCCAGGTTCTGTCGGGTGGTCATACAGACTTTCTGGCTGTCATAACGCGAACTATACAGCCCAGTCCTCCAGCAGCAAATACCTGAGGTTCAAGACAGGAAAGCTTTCAATAACTAAGATTTGTTGATTTTACCAAAGTACAGTTTAAACAGTCATTTTGTGAAATATTACCTATTACAGTACCTTTTAAAGAACTGATCTGGCATCACAGAAACATTCAAATACAAACTCTTAACTTAATAAATCTTGAATATTAATTTTAATAATATTTATTTTTAATAATATTATTTTTCTTTACATTTTTTAAATCATTCTGCAATATTATAAAGAAATAATTTGTTCATTTTTTTCTGCCATATCATCGAACCAAAATCAAAACAAACATGATAATGTCTTACAAGGGTGTTTACAGGAATAAGAGATTGAAATTCAACACCAAAAGAGGTGGTCCACAGCGTATTTATAAAGCTTTGCTGTGTTTAGAAGATGCAAAGCAGTGTGTGCTCATGTTTCACTTGTAGACAATCAAGTTATTTTTCATATATCTTACTTTGATTATATACTGCTACTCAGCTAACATAACATATTTCCTAGTTCCTCCAAAAGGCCCGCCCTCAAGAGGCTCTGATTGGTCAGCTAACAATGTGCTGTGATTTGTGGATTGGCTCCACGTCACTCCTCTACTGACACTGCAGTGCTGCTGAAGATAGTGGCTGTCTACAGCAGTTTTGACTGATAAAAAAGAGTTTGTAGTTAAATTGTTTTTTGGTGACAAATAGCATTTTCTGTTGTTTACGTCCTCGCTACAACATACCGTTAACGCTAGAAACTGTGCCTGTAGTTGATCAATTTTAACAAATAAAAACACTGACAGGTTGTGACTCACAATCCACAGCTTCGTCTGTTGGAGGAGTTTCAGCCGAATCCAGCACTGAACTGGGAGAGATTCTGAAAGTTCTCCTTTGTCAAATGCTAGCTATATCTTTTTAAAATATAATTCTCTGGAACATAATTAAAATTAAACTGTATGCACGTCTCTTTTTGTGTTGTGTCCTTTAGAAACACAGATACAGAAGAAACTATGTGGAAATAGCAGCATTTGAAAGGCATTTTAGCTTTTTCTGCTTTAACATTAAAGCGCCTCTGGCCACGCCCTTTTGCTCCACGAGGTGTGTGTGAGGTGAATGCATGTAACTGGAAGCCCTTGTGATCTCACTAGCCTGGATGTTTTTTTTTTTTGTAGTCCCCAAATTCGTTTGCTGTAGGCTTTGCTAAGCTAAGCTAACTATGCAAACCCTTGCATTGACCTTTGAGTGTCTAACATTGAAAGATGTTGTTTATGTTCACACATTTACTAAAGTTTAAAATAAGATCGCAGCGGACCACCCCTTTAAGACCTTTTTAAAGACTCTTTGCATACATTTTAAGACCTCATCACCGCTTCAGGTTTCAACCAATTCATTGCCGACATTTTAACTTGAAGTATATTTACTAAATACTGCAGGAAACGAATTCTAAACTAAAACTGTATTTATATACTGAATAAAAATGCTAATCCAGCAGGTAGTGCCTTTACAGCAGCAGGAATAACAGTGTTTCCCTGTTACTGCAGTTAACAAAGCAGCGTGATGTCAAATCTAGCAGAATTTTTATTATTTCGTAAACTACACAGCATCCCAATATTAAAAGATTAAATTCAGATATACTTTAGCATGCTGATACTGAATTTAAAACCTTTTAAAATAGCATTTAAAACGTTTTAATGCTTTTTAAGGACCTTCAATTTCTCCAAGTTAATTTATCAATGTTTAATACATTTTAAGACCCCGCGGACACCCTGCTTACGATACGGTAATGGGCTAGTTAGGTTTTTTTATTATTTTTTTAAAAACAACTGAAATAATTAGTAATAATAATGTAATATATCTATCTTTATATTAAGTTATATTATTATATCATTTTACTTCTATACTTTTACGTTGCATTTGCTCTTTTACGTTCATTTGTAAAATTAGTGAGCTTATTTTCTCAATAATAAATTGAAAGTAAAGGCCCAAACATAAACACACACTTACACACTCCCCACAAAAATAACAAGACAGTGTTCAAATGTGGACAAAACAAACAAATTAACGCTCCAGGTGCACAGTGAAATGTAACTCTGGATCACAGTCATACTGTAAGTGTCAGATTCTGAAGTCATCTGAAAGCTGAATGAATATTTTTTCATTGATGTATGGTTTTCAGGACAAGATGCAACTATATTCCTGAAAATTAGAATTTTGTGGGTTAAAATAAAGCAAAACATTGAGAAAATTACTGTTAAAATAGTTCAAGTTAGATTCTTATTAATCCACATTACTAATAAAAAGTTGAGTTTTGATACATTTACAGTAGGACTTTGTAAAGGGCACCTATTTTCCCCCTTTTAGATTTAAGATAAGTCTTTTACATCTCCAGGGTGTGTCTGTAAAGTTTCAGCTCAAAACATCCATCAGATTATATATTTTACCTCTGTGTATATTGGTAATTTGAGCTGTTTTGACTTTGTAGCTGTTTTTGATACCTGTGCCTTTATTGGAAATAAGCTGGTGCCTTCTGCCCACTGTTCCCAGATGTGTGTCAGAGCCAAAAGAGACAGGTGTAGCTTATCTTGCTGCATCTCACGCATAAGCAGCAGTCACAGACAAGAATGAAGCAGATATCCCTCACTACAGTAAGAACTATACCAACGGTGATTTGATGTATTTGTATGGATATCTGTTATGTTAATGTACAAAATTAACCTGATTTAAATCTGTAAACCAGAATTGAAGCATCATCTTTTAAAATTGTACTGACATGCGGCTGTGGTGAAGAATTACGAAGCGATTTTACTGTCTTTTTAACAAACATGCACTCTTTTAGAAACGTTTTAAACTTGGAAAACTCATTCTTGAGGTGCTGCTGATCACAAAGAGCTGAACAGATCTGTTAATCTCAGTTGCTTTGCGCACGTCCTGTCTTGTTGATACGAGTATACGAGTTACTATAGAGACATGTTAATATGTGGCTGTCAATCAATTTAGTGGGTGGGGAAACCTCACTCCTACGTCACATTGTGGTGGGCCTCAACATGGGAGGGATTTGGATCCTATTTTAAAAAAATGAGACTTACTGCCTTTATATCACCCAAATATGACTGTGGACCTACACACAATTATACCTACACACAATTCAGTCCAAACAGCTTTCAAAACATGATTTTCATCATAGGTACCCTTTAAAAATGCCTTCATGGAACATGATCTTTACTTGATATTCAAATTTTTGGCATTGAAAGAAAAAAAATATATAATTTTGACTCATACAATGCATTTCTGACGATTCCCACAAATATATCCGTGCAACATAAGACTGCTTTTGTGGTCCAGGCTCACAAATGCGCCTCTGTTGTCCATTTGTCATCTGACTGATCAAAACACATCTTAATAGGAAGAGTTTCTTGAATTTATTCTTGATATTTTCCTTCAGTTGCCAAAAAAGTCTTCATTGGCAGATTAAGTGGAAAATTCACACATTACTACTCATCCTTGTGTGGCTTCAAACCTTCATCAGTTTCATTTTCTGTTGAACATAGAAGATATTTTTAAAAATGCTGGTACCAATTGACCTCCATAGAAGATCAAAAATGATCTTATTCGTTGTTGTTCAACAGAAGAAAGAAACCCATATAGGTTTTGAACAAATATGAGTAAATGATAACTGAATTTCCATTTTTGGGGGAACTAAGCCTGTAATACATCCTGCAGAAACCCTGTTTAAAATATATAATAATAATAATAATAGTAATAAAATACAGCAAACAATCGATAGCTGGGATTTACCTTTTCGTGCCACTGCAACAATATGGCACTGCTATTGTCTGTAGGCCTCTCAAAGCCTTTGTAGATGTACTTCATGAGAAGATCAACGCCGTTCTTGTCGAGAGATTTAACAGCAGGTTCAATATCGCTGCTCTTAAAAGACGTCAGAACCCTGAATACCACCGTCTGTGCTCTTTCCTGAGAAAAGAAAACACAGGAGGGAATCTGTATATCAATCAGCTGTGCAATACGAGCATGCAGAAGAGAATTTACCTTTATTGCTGGGTTCTTGCTGTGGATTGGAGGATTCCTAAGAGCAATGTGAAGAGCTGACATTGTGTCCCCTGTGCATTACAGATGGTTAAGGAAGACATAGATAGTTTAAGTTACCGTCATACCTACAAATACTGGTAAAAAAAAAAACTGGCATCGGTAAGATTCATTGATATTTTTTGAGAGAAGCCCTCTGCTTAGCAAGGCTACATTTATTTGATCAAAAATACAAATAAAATTGTGAAATGTTAATTAAAAATAAAATTTCTTACTGATTTTAGCTTAAATTTTCTATTTATTCCTGTGATTTGATGAATTTTGTAAATCATTACTACAGTCTACAGTGTTACATGACCCTTCAAACTCATTGTAACGTAAAGATCTGCTGCTCAAGAATTTTTTTATTAATATTATTTTAAGTATTTTAAGCACCGTTTTTTTTTTTTTTTTTTTTTTTGAGAAACTGATACAGTGACATTAAAAGGTTTTCAAATTTATTGATCAAGGACACATTAAAAGAGTGAAAGTAAAAACTAGGGCTACAGAATATATCATTTCAGCATCGATATCACAATGTATACATCTACAATAGTCACATCACAATATGCAATGTTGAGTCTGGACTTTAGTTGACCAGGAGCTATAGTATTGTATTTAAATACTGAATTAATATGCAATTTATGTGATTTATGGGAAAAAAAGGTTTTCTTACTTAAATTATCTAATAATTTTATAGTCCAAATATGTACATTCTAAAGCAAAAAAACAAGATTTTTTTTTTATCCCACTGGCAGATCATTTTATTGTTTTAAGGACAAAAACTCTTAATTTGTACTTATTTCTTCTGAAGTTGAAAACAAATCAATATTTTTACTTGATCTAGGATTTTTTTAGACATTTGAACTACACACAAGACAAAGAAAAGCATTTTTTGCATTGTGATTATTTAATTTCTGTACCTGAATACTGGTCCCCAGAAAACCGTCATGCTATTCAAACTATATTGTGACAGTGTATTCATATTGCAATATTTATTGCAGAAAAATAAAAAAATGCAATATCAGATTTTTCCATATATCATGCAGCCCTGGTAAAAACAGTTATAGTCTAAAAAATGTATTTTTAAATAAATGCTGTTATTTTGAGCTGTCTTTACATCAAAGAATCCTAAAAAGTCAAATGAATCTCAATTCCCCAAAAAAAGCATGAAAAATGGTCATGTTTAAACTTAATAAACACAAAAATCATTATTTATGACCGAGTAATAATAATTGATTATAACACCTCAAACCAGCATATTATAATCGTTTCTGAAGAATGAAGTAAATCCAGCTTTTGATAAGAAAAAATGTATTAAATTTTAACAATAAAAGTTATTTTAAATGTAAATAATGTTGCACAATATTACTCCTTTTATAGTGTTTGAGATTAAATAATAGGCAATGAGTTCTTCAAAATAACAGAAAATTCATTTCTAATTCCAATCTTTTGATTGGTATATAGAGTATATCATACCAGGGAAGCTTTAAACTTCACATGAACTGACATTAGGAGGAAATATAAATAATAAAACACACGCACGCACACACCCAAGTAGAAATATCCCGAAACAAATGATTCTCTTAGACGGGCCTCAACCATAAGGAACATGGATGATTGATTGTTTGTTATGTTGCAGCTGCTCGCCACTACATTCTCCAACAACTGAATTGACCCACTGCGTTAATATAGATACAGAGATGATTTATCGCTGGTTTCATTTCAGCTTCGGAATTAGATGTCACATTAATATCAACTTTAATCCAACTATTCAAATTTTAGATGCCCTGACCTCAATATTAAAAATAGAAGACCTCAAAACAAAAGCAAAACAGAAACCGGAGTCTCAAGACACTCATTTTCGGTGCCCTTGTGTTCCAGAATATTTCGAGCTTCTTGTCCTCAGATGTTCTTTTTCTCGTGCTGTGCTGAGGATAGTCCACTAATTTTTGGGATGCAACAAATTTAGTTTCCTCAATCAAAGTGTTGTGAAAAGAGTATTGTAATAACTTACTCTTAAGTAACATTTCACACCCTAAAATAATCAGCCTTGGAGGACATTATTTGATTTCCTTCAATTAATCTTTTTTGTGGTCGACATATAGTTTATTATTATATAGATTGAATGAATCATATCTTTTTTCATATTCTAGATTTCAAAGTTTTGATTCAGACTTGACCACAGGATATTAACCTGAGATACTAAAATTCAGGTCTGTTGCTTCTAAAGTCTGCATAAAATCAAAATTGACAATGTTTACTTTGCTAGAACACATTGTTGGTCTTTTGGTGTACAAATAATCTGTGCAAGTTAGTCCCGAGAAAATAAACTGCTTTGGTAATCTTCAATTAAAATTTAAACATTGGCTTCTGCTCTGGAATGGCAATCCATCTCTGATGATGTCAGTTTGGTGACAGATATTGAGACATGCCAATTAAACCATTAGTTTACTGCAAGCGAAAGAATGGAAGAGGAGCAAACCAACCCCCTACTCTATATTCAGTTTCAGTTGGTCATACAGGAATTGAATTTGCAGCAACTTTCGGTTCTTTTGCCATTTTAAACATCTTTACTGTGTGTTTAAATAACAGTAGCATTTGTTTCAGCATTTGGGGGGAAGGGAATAGGGGTATTTGGCAGGAGTTGGGGTGGCACTGTGTGTTTGTCTAAATAACACAGTTGAGAACCGGGTTAATAATGTCAAGTTCAGACTGCATGACTTTCAAAGTAGTCTTGTCACAGATGTTTTCACACTGCATGACTATCTGGGCTAGCGTTTTGTCGCTGCTGTGTTTACACTGCAAGATGGATCGGCGACAGGGGCTTTCACATTGCATGACTTTACAATAGGAAGAATCGCTGACAACTTTGGCCAAACTCGCAGTCAAAAACATCTAGTATATATTTTGTTATTAGGCTAACTACATAACGAGAAAGAATGGGGTAGAAAATGTACATATTTGCTCACCCGGGTTTAAAGGGAATTAGCAATTCCTCAACTCCTCAACTTTCTTTTTTAGCTTTCTGAATAAAACATCAAACAGACATAGGTGCTCCCGTCAAACCCCCACTAGTTTTTCCACCATTTCTTGGGTCCAAATAAATAATGTCATTTTCAGTCAAAACTCATTTCACACGGCGTGATTTTAATCGCTGACAGCTCCAGATATTTAGCATGGCAAATATCTCACAGGCACTGGCGATTCTCTCAGATCGCGTCTTTGATAGTTCATACTGTGTGATTGTCACTCACGTGCACGAGCACAGATTTGCCTGTGATTTCAGGCATATGTCAGCGATTTCTCAAAACCTGTCGGCGAGTCAAAATCGGGGCTAAAATCATGCAGTCTGAACTCGGCATAACTCTACTGCGATGTTAGTAATGCCGAGTTCAGACTGCGGGATTTTCAAAGTAGTCGTGTCAGATGTTTTCACACTGCATGACTATCTGAACTAGCGTTCCGTTGGTGCTGTGTTTACACTGCAATATGGATCGACAACAGGGGTTTCACACTGCATGACTTTACAATAGGAGAATCGCCGACAACTTTGTCTCGATCTGCAAACTACGTCTCACAACCAAACACGTGAAGTATATTTTGTTATTAACTCCATAATGAGAAAGAAGCCTTTAGTGAGGTAGAAAACATAATTACTTTGCTCATCTGGCCTTTGAAGGGAATTAGCAATTACTCTTAAACTTTTTTCTTTTTTGAGCCGGTTGTGGTATTACTCTGATGACAAGTCAAACAGACAAGGATGCTCCTGACAAATTTCCACTAGGTTTTCCTGCAATTCTGGGTTCCAAATAGACAGACAAAAGCCCTTTAAACTTCTCCCCCATCTTTCCGCTGGCCTGCAGATCTCCATACTAGTGGATGCTGCTCTCTCACTGGCTGTGGGGAATCGCTAATGTTATTTTCAATCTGAACACATTTCACATGGCCTAATTTGAATCGCTGATCGCTCCAGATATTTAGCATGCAAAATATCTCAGGGGTGTTGGCGACTTTGGATTGTCCGAGAGAAATAATATGGTGGTGGGAGATGCATCTGAAATACAGGAGACTCCCGGGAAAAATGGGAGAGTTGACAGGTATGATCTAAAGTCATTTCACTGTATTTCAACTTATTTGGAGATAAAATGTTATGGACACTAGGGATGGGAAGATTAACCGATATGTATCGATACGCGGTCATGCGCGTGCACGATGCGAGTGCATCGGTAGAGCAGCAGAGGATGAATGAAATTTTGGAAGCAAATCGAGATGCATCGGTTTTTGCGAGATGCTTCGGTTTTTCCAAGATACAACTTATTTTTTTAATATAGAATGTATTTTTTATTTATTAACAAGTGTTGTCAACCTGTTTTTGCCGCATAATTTAATCGACCTACATAAAGTATGCCTTAGAAACGGGCTTGCGGATGTGTACACTTACACTACAACTCAGTGTATCAGGTGTGCGGATGAAGCTAGTGGTGCGCCCTCAGAAAGCGCGAGAAGCAAAACAAACATTTTATTCCTCACTGAGTTTTAAATCTAAAGTATGGCAACATTATGGATTCTGCAAAAAGGATGGACGACTTGACAGGACAGATGCAATTTGCAAAATGTGCCGCGCATCTGTAAAATACACGGGCAGTACGACTAATCTGAAATCTCACTTGAAGCGGCGCCTCGGTGTTGTTGTGGAAGCATCTTCCAGTGTTCCTGCATCCCCGGCTTCCTGCTCTGCTTCAACTGTAGCTACCAGCTCCAAAAGTGGTGAGAAAAGCATTGAAAGTTTTCTCCAATCGCAACTGTTCTGCTCGCTCTACGCCAATAACGAATGCTATTGCATTGTTCATCTGCAAAGATATTCAGCCTAGTATCACACAGAACGAAGGTTTTAAACACCTCCTGTTAATTTTTATTTATTTATATTTTTATTAGCCTGTTGTTTACAGTGATAGTGATGTTTCAAAGCAACATAACACTGCTAGTTCACGACCTTAAGTTTTGAATATTCAGTGGCAAAATATCTTTGTAAAACTTGTTTTCATAGTTGAAAAGTTAAATCACAATTCTTGTTGTGCAATGCTAAACCTTTATGTTGAAAGAGTGCAAATATATACATTTATAATATATATTGCACTTATACATTCTGTTTATCTTGAAAATACTTAAATAATATGTGCTATATGTTCTAAAATGGCACTCTACTGTAAACTGACACTCTGGCTCTGAGAGAAGAGCCAGTTTGTAAAAAAAGTCTTGGTTTTACTTGGTTAATAAATAATCAAACTCATTCAATTGCACAGCATCCTTTCTTACATCATCTCATAAACTTGATCTAATTAGTTAGTGCTGAATTATCGCATTGTATCGTGATATGGGTGTGAATCGTATCGTGTTGCATCGCAATGTCACAAATGTATCGCTAATATATCGGATCGTATTCTTTGTATCGAGATGCGTATCGGATCAGCATTATAGCTTAGATGCCCAACCCTAATGGACACATTTTGAAGACTGGAGAATAGAAACTGAAAATCTCCATCACCTCTATCATAACAGAAATTTAATTACCTTTTAAAATATTTTCGCTTAGAAAAGAAAAAGTTACTTAAAAAGGTCATGATGTTGCACAATATATTTATCCTTTCTTCTATCCCATTTCATGAGTGTGGTAAACTCAACAAACTCCTCGGAGAGCATGTAAATCTCCTGAGGGACTTCTTGTTTTCCAAAATGCTGCTTAGTGCTCTGTAATAACACTTCAGCAAGATCAAGCTATATGCATCTGCTTCATTGCACAGAAGAGCTGCTAAACAAGTCAAATACTTGATTCCCACCACTGTCAGACACACCAAAGCTGCATATTCAGCCCTCTCATAACAAAGCCTTCACTGGAAACCCCACTGCCCATACAGAAGGTTAATGAGGACTCATTACAGGCTTGACATGTTCAACTGAGAAATACTGAAACAGTAAATCTCCCAGTTTTTTAGTCAGCTGCTGTACCAAATCAATTCAAGATATGATAAGCAGGAAAATACTGAACCTGGTACCACGGTAGAGCAAAGAGGAAGAGGAAGCCCCATGCAAATCACAGGTCTGTGGGCACAATAGGGGTGAAAATGCTTGAGGTGACTGGCCTCAAATATGGAAGTCAAATATTTCATTTCACATCCTGTCAGGACCAAATTGCAAACACCACTCAGAAAGAGCTGTAACAACAAAACAACCACATTATTAACAACAGCCCTAATGTCGGAGTTTATATTGAGACACATTTCACCTGCGCTCACCATGGAGACAATAAACAAATACATATATCACTGAGACAATCATACCATTGTGCTGATCCACCTATGCAGTACTAGGAAACGAGAATGGAAACATGACAATAGCGTGTGGATTCACATCCCTCCTTAACAGGTTTATTACGGTGTGACAATGCAGGTGACTGTTTGCTTCAAATGACTATTACAATGAGCGCAGTGTAACCTAATTGGAAAACTGTGACAAAACAAAGTAGCAGAAATGTCAGGCTGCTCTAGCTCTCAGCAAATGCTCTTGGGAGAAAAAATTAGTTCATTATATAGAACAAAAGTTGAAGCTTGGTTAGTTTGGGTTGGGTTAGACTCACCCTCTTTTACTTACTCAGCCTCAGGGCTTTCAAGTGCTTCAGCAGAACATTAAGGAAGTTTTTTTTAACTGAAACTGGTCCTTGGTGATTCATAAAATACAAGTTATGCATGCATTAGGCATGGGAAGATACAGTTTACAAGGTATACCGCAGTTTGGAAAAGTCATAGTTTTAAAACTGACAAAATTTTCTGCTATACCATTCCTATGGTAAATATAAGATTTTTTATTTACGTTTTTATTTTATTTTTTTCAGGACAACAGTATCACCTGCAGACAACCCATCCAAAATGCTATTTTAAATGGTAAAAAATCTGTTTTTGAAACTAATGTAGACAGCAAAAGTCAATGATTGATTTTAATTATTTACCCTGACTTGTTTACTGTCCCAAAATATTTTAAATGTTTCTCAAAATGAAATATTGTGTTCTAAGGGGTAATAAGCTTTAGTTTTTTAGCCCAGACATTTAAAAATAAAATATTTTAGAGCAATAATCCCAATTACAGTGAAACAGTGATATTCATATCCAAGGTTATCATACCATCAGAATCTTATACCGGCCCATGCCGAGCATAGATTAAGTGGTATTAAATATATACTTAAAAAAAATCAATCCCTGTGGCTCCTGCTACAATGTTGAGGGATTAAGTGAATTTATCAGACTGTTAAAAAAACTGGACAAGATTTACAAAACATTCAGCTGAATCAACTCAACTGTATAGTTCAGTTGTGCTCAATCCATTACCAGGATGAGCTTTATTAATGTTATATCACCTTTATATTTTCTGACTCTCAAAGTGCTGGTGACTATTTTATGAATCACCAATGGCCAGTTAGGCATGGGATGATGACCATTTTTGTATAATCGCGGTTTGCAAAAGTAAAATTTTCTGCTATACCGATCTTAAGGTATGTGTAGGATTTTTTTTTTATTTACCACCAGAATCTTACACTGGCCCATGCCTAGCATACATTAAGTGGTATTAGAATATTAATTCATTTTCTTGTCGGCTTAGTCCCTTTATTAATCCTGGGTCGCCACAGCGGAATGAACCACCAACTTATCCAGCACATTTATGCCCATTTATGCCAGCCGCAACCTATCTCTGGGAAACATCCACACACACATTCACACACACACTCGTGCACTACGGACAATTTAACCTACCCAATTCACCTGTACCACATGTCTTTGGACTGTGAGGGAAACCGGAGCACCCGGAGGAAACCCATGCGAACACAGGGAGAACATGCAAACTCCACACTGAAACGCCAACTGAGCCGAGGCTCAAACCAGTGACCTTCTTGCTGTAAGGCGACAGCACTACCTACTGCGCCACTGCGTCGCCGGTATTAGAATATATATATACAAGAAAAAATAAATCCCTGTGGCTCCTGATACGATGTTGAGGGCTTATAAACTGAATATATTAGACTGTTAAAAAAACTGGACAAGATTTACACAAAGTTAAACTGGATCAATTCAGCTGTATAATATTTAAGTTGTGTTCAATGTATCAGCACGACCAGCTATATTAATGTTGCATTACCTGTATATCGTTTGACTCTCAAAGTGCAGATGACTATTTTATGAAAGACCAGTGGCCACAGTATCAGCTGAAAATCTGAAGATTGAAAGTAACCTACATCATAAATGACCTTGGGTGAGTAAATATCTATTTTTTGGGCGAAATATCCCTTTACATTTATTTTTAAACAGATTTCATTGCTCGCAAAACCTTGCAACAACAATCATTTATAGATCTCAAGTAAAGTTATCATGGCCAAGTTTCATAAAAGTTATGATCACATGTGACCAAATTTTGAATAAGTAACTTATTGAATCAAATAAAATTGCAAAATGCAATGTCCCGCTACATAACATCAAATTAGGGATATTAACGCTAAATGTAATATGTTAAGACGCCGATTGTTTAATTCTACAAATATCATTTATAAAATATAATTGAAAATACCATTACTTAATAATATTTTGTGGAAATCATATAGCAGCTTATAAACTTCAGCATTGAGGCGCTTTTACAAAACAATGCGCTTTTAACTTTTGTAAACAAAGCAGCGCAACCATCACGTCATCAAGCTGAGATACTGTACGGAGCGGGGCGCGCGCTCATGTCACCCGGGGCTCGCGATCGCAGCTCAATCCCTGTTACCGCCGCTCTCACGGTGAAGGATATTGCCTGAGAAGGTTGTCGACTTCCAGCGCATCCGGTCCTTGCTGGTCGGCAGCCTCATCGTGATCGTCCACGAATTTATTCTCGTCGAATTCATCAATGTCCACCTTCCTAAAGCGCGAAGACAGCGTGTTCTTGGCCATCGGGGCCAGTGTCAGTCCGCCGCGGTCCCGTGCCGTCTGTCTCTGCTCCGGGGCGGGATTTCAGCCTCTGCTGCTCTCGTCTGCGTCAGGGACACCACACTGAGTACATCCACAGACGGAAGACTAGATTAATCAAAGGCAGCTGTGTGTTCAGTGTGTTATTCTGGCACTCACGAGCACATGAGCTGTTCCAGTGTACCGATGCAGAGCCGCATATTTATTATGAAAGGTGCGATGGCAAAGCTTGAGTACTACTGCCACCTGCTGAGTGGGAGTCTGTGAAGGGCTCTACTGTTAAAGAAACAGTACACACAATTAAATTTCGGTCAGGAGGCCACAAACTTAAGTCAGTTTACCTTATCATCCAAAATCAAGCAATCCTTTATGAACCTTATTTGACGAATCTGTCATTTCATCCCTTAAAATTGTAAAATACTTTTGTATGGAGCTAGACCAGTCTCAAAAATAACGCATTCACAAAATAAAATTCAGACATGCACAGCACAATTCACATTTACAAAATTAAATTTGTAATTTCAAAACAAAATTCATAAATGCAACACACAGTTTTTGAATTCACAAGTAAAAATGAAAAACATTTTGCCAGATGGATTAGATTTGTTTATTTAAAAATCATGTTTTCAATTTACGAATTAAATTTGTGTATTTAGGAATCTTGCTTTGAACTCACAAATTGAATTTGTGTAGTAATAAGTTGGGTTTTGTATTTTATTTTGCACATGGACCGATCTGGCTCCATACTCTGGTTGTATAACAATATAGCCTTCTGTAAAAGTGCCAAATAAACATTCATTTGTTTGTTCATTTATTCATTCATTCATTTAACCGTCTCTTTAAAGCAATAATATAAAAATAATGTCGGACTTTATAAATCTTTTTTTTTTTCATTTAATGCTACTCATTCAAAACATGAATAACAATGTAAGTTAGTAATTGTATAACTGCTTTTACTGAAAAAATAGTCTCTGTGTTTTATTCTGTGAATTTGTGATGAATGTTTTAGGATAATCAAAGTTTTAGGGTAATCTTTTAAATGCAATTGCAACACTATGTATGTTTATTATTAAAGGGATTGTTCACCCAAAGCTAAAATTCTGTCATCATTTACTCATTTTACCTCCACTTGTTCCAAATGAGTTTGAGTTCACAAAAGAAGATATTTTGAGGAGTGTTGGAAAGCAGCAGCTTCCATAGTATTTTTGTTCCTGCTGCAGTTTGTCTATGGCTGCCATCTTCAAACGTTCTTCAGAATTCATGTTTTGTGTTCAATGAAATACAGCTAAGAACCACTTGAGTGTGAGTAAATGGTGGAGAAATTTTCTTTTTTTATGAACTATCCCTTTAGGAAAGAATTGATCTTTTTAACATTTCCCCTTTATGGAGATTATTTCCACATACATGTATTAATTAATTTATTAATTAATTTATTCATTTATACTTCATAACACTGTGTAGCAGGCTATACAACAAAATGTTCCTTTTTCAAACGACTTCAGTCAGTCTCAAATGTAAAGTTTCTTGAAAAGGTGTTAACTAGGCAGGTAAGGTAAAGGTGTGTAAATGTATTTGTCCGCTAGAGGCCGCTGTACGTCACTTAATTCTGCGTCTGCGCAGTCAGCGTGTTTTCACCGCCATATTGATCTAGCAAACAGAAGGAACGTACCTGTTTTCCTAGACGTTTATCCAACGTATATTGATTTCTCCTTAATTAAACTGACGACCAGAATACATTTTGAGTTTGATAAACAATGGGGAAACGGTATTACTGTGACTACTGTGACCGCAGCTTTCAGGACAACCTCCACAACAGAAAGAAGCACCTAAACGGCGTCCAGCATCACCGGGCGAAGAAAGCCTGGTTTGACAACTTCAGAGGTACTGCACACAGCAACAGAAGGAAACTGAAGCAATATCTCCAGATAAAACACGTTTAAATGGTTTAATTTCATTTTATTCAGATGCTGCCACACTTTTAAACGACGAGCGATCGAAAGAAGTCTGTAGAAAGTTTGTCCAGACAGGTAACGTTAATATATCTGACAGAAGTTACTGCTTGTGCTTCTTTTAGATAAAACATGTCCAAGTTATGAAGCAGACAAAGTACATTTTCTGTTAATGTCTTCCAGGACATTGTGTGTTTGGTACGAGTTGTCGATTTTCACACATGTCTGAGAAGCAAATGAAGATGCTGGAGCAGAAGATTGATGGTGAGGATGATCAGATCTTCATGCATTTCTGATCTATCACTAATATATAAATGAACAGTTCATACAAACATTTTAATTCTGTCATCAGCTGCTCACATTCTGCTTGCTTCAAACCTGTTTCTGTTTCTTTTGTCTGTAGAACACAAAAGACGATAATTAGGATAATGTTGGAAACTGGTAACCTTTGACATCCATTGTATTTTTCATTGAGGTAAAGTTGGTTTTAAATTTACACATTCGGACATTCTCCTTAATAATATAATTTCAGAAAAGTATTGTTTGCAAATTCTAAAAAAAGTGAAATCACATTAGCTGCCATTGGCTATCAAAGTAGGTGTCCAAAGTCAAATAAATAGTGCTCATACATAGATATATACACAAAATATCGCATTTGGACCCTGAGCGTGCGTAAATAGTGCTGCCACATTTGTACAATGCTCCCAGGACTAACGTCATTCAACTGCACTAGTCAAGACTAAAGCCAATCTGAAGATACTGGACTTTAGCGTTTAGAGGTTTTGTACGGGTTTAGTAATGAGCAAAAAAACAAAAACAAAGAATAAATGCTGAAAATTTAACAGGTAAGATTTCGTTTTTTTTTTTTTTTTTTTTTTTTTTTTTAATGTTTTTGTATGTTACATAGTTTTGTGCTCAACAAGTATCGGTATTGATGATATATACAGTCACTTACTGCACTGACCATAAGACAAATTAGCACCAACTCGTACGAAATTCTAAACTTATGCTAGTTTTGTTGAATAAAATCAGCAAACAATGTAAATAAATTATGACAACAAGATGCTGCAGTGCCAGAAACTTGTATTATTGTTAGCTATGTTTATAACAGAGATTTATTCACAAGTGAATTGCTCCCTCCGTTAGAATGAGAAGTGAAAGCAGGAGAGGGGGTGTGTTTCAGGACATGGATTAGGTCAAATTTAACAGGTATTGAGGATAATATATCTTCATGCACACAAGCATGCGCTCTTTGTTGGCAATACCCGTGCGGTCTCTTATCTGTCAATGTAGAAAAGTGATGTAAAATTATAATTTTTGTAGTTAAAAAAATAAATAAAATTTGCGTACTGACCACCAGGAAGACTCCTAATTGTAGATATATGTATATATGTGTGCATATCTCTGGCTCTTGATGGCCAGTCCTACACTGCACCTTGGTCCCAGATTCAATTCAAAAGAGTGTTACCCTGTACTAAAATGGCTGCTCTATTAATGCATTCCTTCCAATAGACTACAATAGCGTAGGCGACATCTAATGTAAATAGCTATGAGTAGTGCTAATGTTGACTTCAAGTCATACTTGCATGAGATTTCAGGCCGAAATTTCAAAGTACCATGGTAATCAAGATAAGAAGCAGGTCACAAATTGTCACTGAATACATTGCGAATATAAAAACAACTGAACTTTACCTCAATTCAAAGTTTAACATTGTTCACAGTCAAGTAAATGTATGGAGCATGTCACAAATTGTCACTGAATGAATGTGCTAAAATAGAACTAACATTACCTCAATACTATGGATGTCAATTGCTAACTTTTTCAACATTCTTCTAAATATCTTCTTTTGTGTTGAACAGAAAAAAGAAACTAATGATGACGGAGCACATATTTACATTTTTAAGCTCAATTGTCCCTGTAAGTTTACTAAAAAGCAATGTTTAATGCTGATGGCTGTTTGTGTACACTTGTTTGGTTAACCAAGAACTTTGTGGTGACTTCCTGCCAGATGAAAAGCGTCAGAAGGAAGATCCTGACCAGGATGGATCATCTGAGCGCAGCGTTGATGAATGGCTCTCCAGAAGAGAGAAGAAACTGGCTGCTTTGACATCAGGAAGGTACTTATGGCAGGATACTGCACAGAATAGTGATTTAGGAAGGCTGGAGTGTTTCCAGTAAGTGTCTTGTTCACTGTGGATGCCTCAGTTCTCAATTACTTTGACTTTGATGTTGACAAACGATCACTTTTCACTCTCACACAGAGCTCACAATTCACATTCAGCCATCAAAGAATTTGCTTATGCGAGTGGTTTTGTCCACAGACCATTAAATAAAACCATCCTTGCGTGAGGGACCCTGATCATAAAATGCAAAAGGCGTCTGTATAGTTTGTTGTACATGAAGCTAGTTTACACAGTGCAGGTTTTAATATTATTACAAATGGGTCTGAAATATGATTTTGAAAGTATTTGGATTCTATTAAGTAGCATTATTACACATTGTTCTATTCATTATAGTAGTCTGTTTGCATCAATTGAATATTTTTATTTATTTCATTATGTATTATTTATTTTAGTGTAACATTAGATGATTTAATAAATTCAATTTAATCATATTTTGTATTATTTTAAATTATTTACATTTTTTTTACTCTAAGTATTTTATATCTTAATTAAATATTTAATTATTATTTATGTTAGTCTTTTAATTTAAAGAATTCAGTTCTGTATAGGATTTTTTGAATAGTTGTAATTTTTCTCTCGTTTTTCCCCGGACCCAATCATTCTCACCAGTGTCTCTGGAGTCCCGTTTTAAAATTGTTGCCTTATGCTATAGCGAGTCCAAAGACTTGTTTGTCCCTCAAAACCAGCAGTTTTATGTTATGATTGAACATGCTGCTGATGTTGATAGGAGAGGAATTCCAGCTGCTTTGGTGCGAGTGTGCTTCAGAGCATTCAAAATACATGAAACATCTTGTTTTTGAGGTCACCCTGAAACATGAAAATGAGACGCCTGCAGCTGTGCCATTTGCATAATTACCTGCATGTAGGATCCAATGCTAGAGAACACACACGCACGCTATTCAGATCAGCTTTAAAGGGATGGTTCACCCAAAAAAATACCTTTTTTTTTTCCCTTCACTTGTTACAAACCTCTTAGAGTTTCTTTCTGCCTTTAACCACAGGAAGATATGCAGAAGAGTTTGGGTGGAAAATTTGACTGGAACCGTTTTTATTTTTCTACTATGGAAATAAATGGCTGCTTTTCCCCCAACGTTCTTCAGAAAATCTTGTTTTGTGTTCAAAAGAAGCAAGAAACTCCTGAAGTTTATAATAATTTGAGTTAGAGGAAATGTTCTGTTTTTGGGGTGAATTATCCCTTTAACATGTTAATTCCTTTTATTTGCAGAGTTTTAAGGATGGAAGAGGAAGAATGCACAGAAAACATTGAGATACCTCCTTATTTGCTATCTATTCCAGATCTTCCTCCATCTCTCCATCCTCCACCTGCTGGTGGTTGGAGAGTGACGGTGCACAACGAATGGGGTTGAAATTAAATGTAAAATCCTTTTATTTAATGATTTTTTTCCTTTTAGACCATGCTGCTCACTGTAATCTTTACAAAGGCTTTTTATATATCAAAAACATTGTACATATTTCTATCCAAACAATTGCATGCATAATATATTTGTGTAATAGGAAGCATGTCTGCATGACTGAACAAGTTTACATTTTATATAAACACTCTCAATAAATACAGTGCATTTAACTTCATAATGCAGAGTCAGTAATTTTGTGTGTCCTGAATGGAACAGCAGATGTTATGACTAGGGATGTCCCCACCGACTTGTTTTGCCCTCAAGTCTGAGTCCAAGTCATTTGATTTTGAGTATTTACTAATACCGAAACCCAATCCGATACTTATATAATACATTAAAAATAATAAAGAAGAGTGAAGAAACAGATCCAGGATGTTCTTGATTTTTTATTTAATTTACCTTATTTTAAAATTCAACAACTCTGTTAACAAACAGAGCACTTCTGTGAGATAGCTTGAACAATCAAATAGTAAATAACATCAATTCTTCACGTTTGGACTTTAGTGCAACAGAAATTATAAAATAAAAACAAACAGCACCTCAGCTTAAAATACCCGGCAGACTTACAAGTTTGCATATGTCACAGTTTGCTATGACAATGTTGTCGTCATTGCTTTATAATACCTCCAGATCGCAGACATACTCGCGCTTGCCTCTTCAAGCTGCTTCCGTGTTCTATTTTTCCAATCGAGTCTGAAACTGCATGATCGGGCCTGATTTCTGATCATGCGATCGGATCCGGACACCCCTATTTATTTCCCCCTAAAGGTACGAGTTAACTTCATTGGTTGCTTGTATTTGCTGAATATCAAGAAGTTGACAATGTCCCCAAGCTGAATGTTAGAAAGCTGGTGCTTTTGCCTGCCTTGTGTCAGTGGTTTAGATTTAAATTCAGATGAGGGAAGCATTTTCAATTTAGTCCTGATTGCTTGTTGCAGGAATGTTTTGTACTGTTAGCGTGCGCGGCCTTGGTGAATTCCTTTTGTCTGCACTGATGAATGTTACACTTGACTGGGACGCACTGCATTTACAATTCTGTTGATGAAAGGTCCTATTGGCTATGTGTTGGGGCAAAGATAAAGTAAATTAGTTGTTAAAAGCTTTGCTGTCCTTCTTGGATACGTTAGTAATGTAATACCAGTATATCAAATAGGAATTGTGCTATTTGGCTGTCTACGTCAATTTACACAATTGATTTGATATACATAGCATATTAATTTACGTAAAGTGTCTAACATTTCAAATAATTTAGAAAATTAAAAACTCGACATGGTGAAAGAATGCTTCTTGGTCATTTGGGGTAATATGTATTTAAGAAAACTTAAGTCCACTGGATATAGCAGTTATAGGACAACCAGCAGTTTCCTAAATTTAAAGGTCATTGCTTAATCGTATTTAAAGTCTTCCTAAAAGGATTAAAGTAGCAGTTTTAAGTAGCAGTTTCATGGGTTACATTTATTCTGAAGCACGGAATAAAAAACTTATGAGAGGTTAGAAAATGAACACTGATCAGAAGTGGAGAACATTTTTTGATTTCTCCCAGAGATTATTTATCTGGCACCAAGTGATCATTTTAGCTATTTGAGAAACCTTATTTAATTTGCAGCTAAGGCTTTGCAAGATGGTGATCCCTTATAATGTGGCTGAAAGCCAGGGTGTCCAGATGAACAGCTTTCAACAGTAGCAAAAAAAGCTGGTTGGTTGAAATCTATAATTTCTACTAGAATATTGTCACTGACTCGTTCAAGCCTCCCGAAAGGCTGAGTGTCCACAAGAGGACAGAATTATGCAGAGGATCTCTGTGGACAATTGATTCAACACTGCAGCAGGAAGGGCTCTCCAGTTCAGCTCTGAACAGGCTTAAGATCTTTCTCTGCATGCAGTGTCTTCATGTTTAAGAGTTTGGACTGAAAGACAGCAGCGACCAAACCTCTCATCAGCAGAACAAATCAAAATGCTTGAATAACCTTTGTAGAAGAGCAAATTTCTGGAAACAACCAATATAATCCATATAAAGTTCATTTAATTAATTAATCCAACCCTGCATGCACACTCAAAATGCTGATTTCTGTAGTATAATCTTTATAGAGGGGTTTTTCTTTAGTTGACCATATTGGAAGCACAGATTGTGAAGACAAACTTGATGAACAATAGGTGTTTGTGTTGGCTAAACTGAACGGGGACTCCTAGGACAATAATCATGATTGCATACATGTGTATTCTTATGATTTAAATATAGAGTGACTATGTGACTATGTCATATATATATATATATATATATATATATATATATATATATATATATATATATATATATATATATATATATATATATATATATATATAGTTATATTGTTATATTGTACACACTGATTTGCCATAAAAAATATAAGCGCTTACACCACAATTACAGAAAAAAAATGTTTTTGTTTCAAGGTTTTAGAGATAAGCTGGTTCATTTATTTGATCCGCTCCATTAGCCTCCAGAGTGCTAAGGTTCTCTGAAGTTCCACTTAAGCGCTAGAGACTGAATATTATATACATTTTTTTCAGCTTCTCAAACATTTTTATTCATTTGTTAAATATCTAAACAGTAGTCAGTTGTACTCTGAAGGTTTGAAGCATGTTTTCGAGCCTGTGTTGTGACACATGTTCCAATTCTCTATTAGGGTAATATCGTAATCAATACTGCTTGTAGATTTTATTTATTATTTTTTGTCAATATTGTGATAGCAAATAAGACACGACTATCAGCGCATACACATATTTTTTTTTAATTATCTAAGAAATTCAGTTTGTCAAAATATTTCAGTCTTTTCTGTTTACTACATCCTCTTAATGATTAGCAACTTCCACACTTTTTTCACTGTGGTTTAGACAGCATAAACAGACAAAACAACATTTCACTGTAAAAAGTTATTTGACAAAATCATGACAACAATAGTTTTTGTTAGTTTAACTTAATTTTAAAAAGTTAATCAGGTTTCAACAAAACAAAATAAAACAAAAACATTTTATCCATTTAAACTTTAACATAACATTAGTCAGTTCGACTGATTTAAGTTGAGATGACTAGAAAAGTTCACTTAACCCCAAAAATACGCCATAAATAAATAAATATATATATATATATATATATATATATATATTACAGTGTACATTAGGGCTGCACAATATATCATTTCAACATCGATAGTGCAATGTTTTTATTCGTAATAGTCACATCGCCAGATATGCAATGCTGAGTCTGTATTACAATCTATCATTTGCATGTGTTTTTGAGACCTGTTGAGTGTATTATTCTTTAAAGGCAAGTGTAAAAACTGTCCTTATTGTAACTTTAATACTGATGAGTTTTATTGAATTATTTTTTTTTTTCATTTTATTATAAATAAAAAATTATTTGTTTTTTATTATTTTTATAATTTGATTACTGCACCTGAATACCATTAGTCTCGGAAAATGATAAACACTATTTATTGCAATTGTATCTTTTTCTTCAAAATAAACAGCAAAAATCAGTTTAAGACACTCAAAAAATGTGAAAAAAAAATGTTTAAAAGCCTTTTTTGACATGTTTATTTCTTAAAACTGCACTTGTGCATTTTGGCAAACAACTGCCTTCATCAGGGTAACCGTGATCAGATGCGTCTGGAGTTTCTTTTCAATGGTTTGGTTAATGACTCATTAAAATATCTAAACAGTACTAACAATATTTTGAACACAAGGTCAACTCAACAATCATCATTAATTCAGCATTAGAGACTGGGAGAAAAACAACACATTTCTTGTATTCTTGTATTTATTCTATGCTTTTTGATTGTTTATTAGATTTTATGCAGATATACGCTTCCCCACAAAATTATCCCAATTAATCTCAATTGATAAATTCTGTCCAAATAGACATCATCCAGTTATCAGGTGGAATTGTATTCATAGCACAATATATAATCGCAGGAAAACAAAATATCTCAAAGCTAGATTTTTCCAATATCGTGCAGCCCTCATGTACATTAACTGTGCAATTCATGCTGAGTATGGCCTGGCATACAGGTTACTGAATGTAAATGCAAATCTTCTGTTGTCTGTGTAGTAATGTCTCAGATATTGTACCTTTTAATGCAAAAATGATAAATGAGTTGTAAAAAACGCACAATAAAAAAGACCAAAGAAGAAGCACCACCGTTTTAATTCAGTTGCTCACATTGAAATGTAACATCAGCACATTTTGGCACATCATAGATTCAAGGTTGTTTTCTACAGCTACATTGATGCAATATAAAGTTACATACATCAGTTGTATATATTAACGTTACGTCACTACATTAATATAATTATGTATGCTAATTTTTAACTGCCAACGTGTATCAGCCATCATGTAGTTAAATATAACGGATGTCATTTAAATATGTGTGCTGTAATATTCCCATGTGGAGTAAGATGATCTTATATTAAAGAAATATTGGAAAAATACAAAAATAAAACTATATTTCTTATAATCCTATAGGTTTTACCCATTTATTACTCTGATTGAAAAACATATTGCCATGTTAAATAATAACAGTAGCCTTATTAGTGTGTAAAAACAATTTGCACAGCAGATCACATGCTCGAGCTTTGGAAATTGAAAGCATGATATGTTTCCGATGTCCTGAAACCAGTGTATCTCAGTTCGTATATGCATGTGTGTGTGTATATATAGAAACTGTAACTTTAAATCACAGTAAATTGTCATCAAATAAGCATAGATTGCATATTTTGAGAACAAAGGCTGACTTTAACATTGCACAATACAACATGTCAGAAAAATACAAATACATGCAAATGCAAAAGGAATGTCATTGCTTTTGGATTTTGCTCTGCATTCTTGGATCACTCAGAATATCTGAGTTTGCAGATTACACATAAAGTAAATACCTTTATCCAATGTATAATATTAATCTGAAATAAGCATTTAATTGTACATTGATATGTCTCTCTGCAGCCTCTTCAAACTAATATAATATTAGTCTCACTACAATCATAATCATATGCTTAGACTTAACTTCATTATTGTTAAGCAAGAGAAGTGTTAACTCATTATTAATATCAGTTATCTGTGATAGAACACATGTGATTTAACTACTGGCAAAGTGCACAAAAAATATAGACTTTGGACACACAGAGAACAACACC